TGAGGTGGGACAGGGGCTAGGAGCAGCTGTAGGGATGGTGATCCAAAAGCTCTTTTCTGTGGGCTGGGAGCAGTGGGAGGGCTGGTGGCTGGGAAGCACCTTCCTCTGGACCAGGAACAGTGGGATGGTGTCTCAGAAGCCCCTCCCTCTGGGCTGGGAGCGGTGGGAGGGATGGTGGCCTGGAAGCCCCTTCCTCTGGGCTAGGAGCAGCGGGACAGAAGGTGGCCCAAAAGCCCTTTCCTCTGGGCTGGGAGGAGCGAGAGGGATGGTGACCGGGAAGCCCCTTCCTCTGGACCAGGAGCAGTGGGATGACTGCTCAGAAGCCCCTACCTCTGGGCCGGGAACAGCGGGATTCAGTACTTTGGTCTGGTGGTCTGGTGTCTTCTGCGTCTTTGTAGTGTGGAACCTGGTGGCTCCCTGTCTGCAGTGGGGTGATTTGGCATCTTCTGCATGACTCAGGACCTTGATAGGGCGTGCACAGACCTTCCTGTGTGCTGTGGGCTGATTCGGTGTATTCCGCAGGACTGGTGACCTTGGTAGGGCGTGGGCAGACCTGCCTGTCTGCAGTGGGCTGATTCAGCGTGTTCTGTGTGACTCAGGACCTTGGTAGGGGATGCACAGACCTGCCTGTCTGCAGCAGGCTGATTCAGCATCTTCTGTGTGACTGCCAAACTATTTCATTTATTCCAGAAAAGTACTAGGATACAGTGGAGCATTTCGAGTTGTTGGATATTTTTGTTGCTTCCAGATTGTCACTGTTGTTTGGAGCATAAGAGTTGAATCTTCTTCCTTAAAATTCTGTGGTATTTTAATGTCTTTAGGCTAAATATCCCTCCCTCACAGGCTGCCACTGGGGAGACTTGGACTGCTAAGGAGATAACGATACTCCTTGGCTTATGGCACGACCCTCTGTGTCCCAGGGAACCAGTTAGGTTGCAGACATGAGAAGCTGAAAGTGCACTTGATCTCCCTAACTTAACTACTACAACTGCAGTTAATTGCTGAATGAGGAGGGAGCTGCCGGGACAGCCGTCAGTATCTCTTCTAATGAGACTGGAGAATACCAGTCGGGGGCACGGGGGCCCGGACACCTGTGGGTGGCTTAGGGGGCTGTGATCCTTGGGACATCGCATGCTTCTCTGTATCAAGGAGAAGCATCCTGCACCTGCCTGGCAGCTCTTCAAAGCACTCACACTCGATGCCTGCTTCTAACATCTGTAGGTCACCACTCACCATCGATGACACCTCTGCCACTGTCTTTGCACCTTTCTCAGCCTCAGGCTTATGTTCTTCCTCTCCTATCTGCCTTGCTTTTCCAGTTTGATCAGCTAAGCTCTCCAGCTCAGTATGAAGAGGCTCAGGAATACCCTCATCAGCAATTCTCAATCTTGCTGTTTGCCAAGCCCCGATATCTTGTTCCTATTTCACGGGAAGCAGAATCTCTGTTAAATCTCTTATATGTATTCACATAGGACTTCAAACCTGTATTCCTTTGCTGGGTTCTTGCATTGCTGTGAGACTTTTCATGCTGTCACGCTGTCTTGGGTAGCATTTGGGGTGTTTGGCCAGACTCACCTGAGCAGCTGGTGCAAACATTGGCATGAACCATATGCTTGGCACGCAGCTCTTATGCTGCACACACTGGGTGAATGAGTGTGGCTGTGTGGGCACCAGGTACATAGCCATCCCACTAGGACACACCTCCTCCCTGGTGGCTGTGGGTGCCCCAGATCCCTGTCTGGCACCAGGAGGCTCTGGGATGCTCTGTGGAATCACACAGTTCCTGAATCAGCCTTCCAGCAATGTCGATACCACCCGTGCCCTGTTGGGTGGCAGTAACAGAAGGGAGGCACCCGTGTGTGGTGGTATTCTGGGTGCTGCAGTGTTCTCTGGCTGGTGGAATAAAGACGCTTTAAATGGGACCCTGTCCTTTCTCCCCAAAAGCAGTGCTGTACCACAGAAGTGAATTCTGGGTTGTGCTTAGTATGCTCCGGCCTGTCCTTCCAGAGCCAGCTCCTGTCCTCAGCATTTATAAGGAGGCTCCGTTTATGGCTGAGGAGAAAGTCACTGTTTATAAGGCTTCCACATTTGCTAGTGAAGTGCTTGCCATCTGCCATTTCTTCATGCAGCATTACAATTGTTCATGTACACTAGGCCAGCTTTGTTATTATATTCCTCAGGTCTTTGTACTTTTTATGATTATCTTGTCTTCTGTTTGTTGCACCAGTAACTTATATAAATTGCCCTGTAAGTTACAGTATACATACTTGCCTTCTCAAGATCTAATACTTATTTGTGTTTTACCATTTTATATCTGTATTAGTTAGGGTTCACTAGAGGAACAGACTGTACAAACCTGTGTATAATCACGCAGGGGGTTCTTAATCAGGCTTACCCAATCAGAAGGGAGGAATCCTCGTTGGCTTGGTCCTTGGTCCACATTGACTCTGAATTTTGCCAATTCAACCCATGACATATCAACAAGTACCTCCATTTTCTCAACTATTTCAAATAGGAAATACATTCAGGGCAAAATGCTTAGAATGCCAGGTTTAATTATATTTGGGCATTGCTGGGCTCTTTGTCTAATAAGATTTTTTCCCCTTAAGTTTTGAATTCTCCAGTGATATTAAGAGGATTATTCTAACTTACCTAATCCTCTAATTCAGATTTGTGAAGCTGTTAGCTTTAAAAAGAAAGATCTGAGTTTTATTTTTTCAAAAGTCTTTCTCCAAGTCACAGTGGAGTGTGGCTCTGTAAATCAATCTGAATTTAAGATATTTACTGTTAGTTCAAATTTCCAGATATGTGGTTTAATAAGAATTACATTTACTTTTGAAATGGCAGAGTCAAAATGTATTATCACAGCCATAACCACGAGTCATGATTATGGATATTACTTCACAGTAAAGCCTTGTGTATCTTTCATTTAAATAACATAAGAAAAGTTATGTATGTGAGTTAGCCTCAGGATTACATTTAAATGTATTCAAAATATCTGAAGCATTTTGAGTATTTTTAATGACATGTTTTATTGATTTTATTTAAAGTACTTTAAAAGGCTAAAATATTTCAAAAGATTCTCTTAAATGTCACTCTACCTGAAGTGCAAAACGCAGTTTAATAAATATTTTATTTTGTAAATCAGTCCAACACACATATCCATCCAACAACACATACAAATTGGGCCTGATTATATAAATTCAGCTCCACATAGAATTAAGGAATTACAAAAGCATTTTTCTGGCACATATTAACATACAAGTAGGATAAAAACTAAGACAGTATGTAAATCATATATTTTAAACATGAAAAGACTAGATTATAAAAATGAGACCTAAAGTAAATCGTTGACTTTTAATTAGAATCTTTAAAATGTTTTAATCTCCAGTCTCATAGTTCCCATGTATTTGGTAATAAACACTGTTGTACAGAGCTTGTGCTTTGTAAATACGAACCATCCTATTCTGCATTTTCAAATATTCAGCCATTTGGGCCTGATTGGCTGGCGAGCGGCCTGGGCTGCAGAGGCAGGAAAGCTGCGGCTGACAAACCCAGTGAGCAGTGGGCCAGGGTGGGATCCAGGCCTCCTGGGCCAGCGACTCCACTGCCAAGTTACAGTAAATCAAGGAGGGGGCCAGGATTAGCTCAGTGGTGCTGTCGCCTGCCTCAAAAGCACAAGGTCCCGAGTTCGATCCCTGGTACCAAAAAAAAAAAAAAAAAAAATCAAGGAGGCTGCAGCCTGTTTGTGCTGTACTTGCTTCTGGAGTGTGAGCTGCCAGAGGTGGTGTTGGGCCAAGGCTGGGGCTCTGAGCCTGCCCTCCTTCCCGAGCCCAGAGTGTCAGGAGCCTTGGCTTTGGAAGTTTCCTGCCTTCTTCTGTCGTCTCCCGAATTGCCCCTGGTATCTCTGTCTAGCAGATACACGGGAAGAAGGCGGCTAGCAATGTGTTTATGAACACATAGTGGCGATGACCTCGATGCCAACTGGTCAGCTCACACAGGACGCGGACACTTGCTGGAAAACTCACTTTCACCGGTGAACTCACAGAAATAGATCCTTGCTCTCAGTCTATAGAAAACTGTCTGATTCGTAAATGCCACAGGTGCAGTCTTCTCTATGTTTCCCCTCCGACAGTCTGTTAAAAATGGAAACAGCAAACTCTGGATTGATATCGTATGGTACCCGGTGAAGTATCATACCTATGTGGCAAATGATGCCATTTAGAATTACTTGTTTTTCAAACTTTCAAGCACTCGTTTTATAGAATAAGTAAAACATTTTAACAAGTCATTTACATTATAAATAGTAAGTAACAAATGCGTGTGTATATGCAGTGTATGTGTGTGTAGATGCTTATCATTCTATCTCTGTGCAAATGGTTACACGGATGTTGCTGCTTTCCATGGAAGTCTGGAAAGGCAAAGCAGGCTGAGCAGAGCCCTGCCTCCCAGGCGCCCTGCACTGATGACAACTTGCACGGATGGCCCAGGAAAGGGATTGGGTGTAATGATCAGGGCCTCTTCTGCCTTTTGTTTTGATGAAGTCTTGCTGATGCTTATATCCACCTTTTGGAGCTCAGAATTCAGAGGGTACTTGGTTGGCCATTCGTATAAATGCACACATGTACAGAAAGAAAAGCTTCCAGGTGGAAAACAATCATTCTGAGGAGTGAATGTGAAGGAGAAGTCTCCCACCCAGAGACTACCTTGGTTTTATTATTTCCTCCTTTTCCATAAGAAAAGGGCTCTTTATGTACTGAAGTGTTTGAGTTGTTACACTTCTCAGTAAGGTTTCTAACACACCTCTTTAAACTTGTATTACTCTAAATTTCCATGTCCAAAATTAATCATTTGCTTTATTTTCTCTCTTGGTTATTATATAAATCATTTGTTCTTTCAAGTGTATTTAACTAAAACCAATCGTGTATCTTTTAATGACATTTAGTGTCTTCGCTTCAACAGAACCCCCATTTTAGTTTTCACATAAAGTTTATTTTTAATATATATGAATTCCGGCCTCAGTCAGTCATAATCTACAGCCTACAAAAACATACACAAGGAATATTTTCGTATCAACTGCCTTTTTGCATCGATGCCTATTTTTAACTGGGAATGTTTTCTTTGGGTACAGCCAGGCAGGCCTGCCCCCTACTGGAGGACCAGCGCTGCCCTTGTTTTGATCAGGGGCAATCTGTGTTTCTGTTTTGAGAAATAATGACATATATTTTGAAATCACAGGCTTGTCTTTATGTAATACGGGCAGATTATATGTTTAACCTCTATCAATTTAGTTAACCCCAGTTTGGGAGGACTAGACGAAAACCATGTATGTAGGATACACTAAGTAGGCACTCCTTTTTACGTTATTGGTACCATGTAACATTGACTTTGTAATCTTCTCACTCGCTACTGAATATCAAGAGGTAGCATCGGTTTTGTTTAAAATGATAACTGTTGATATTTGATATAAGTTAATGACTTCGATGCAAAAGTTCACAAGACCATACAATGCCAACACTTTTTATTGGTGTGAGGACTTCACAGAATATAATCACCCAGGCCTAAAGTAAATGTGACCTAGAACACACTCAGCCAGTATCTGCAGGATGAAATAAATGATTGAATAGAATTAGCGTCTTATCCCCTAGAATTACCGTTGAATGGAGCCAGAGCTTCCCATTCTAGCCTAACTATGCCTCATGGTGACCGAGGGCATTCCTGGGCTTTGGAATCAGACAGGCATGGCTCTGTCCTTTACTGGGCTGGGACAAGAGCCCTACCACGTGCTGATTTCCTTACTGATACTCAGAGCTAAGGGGAAGAAGTCAGATAGGAGAATTAAACATCTGTCACCCAAGAAGCGGTAGTTTACGTTAATTGGCTCCAGGAAGCTAACATGAGTCATATTTTATTAATTTCAGCACAAAGTTCATGCTTAAACAAAGACATAGAAAGTATTACTGATGTTCAAAAACTGTTTTAACAAGAGACCTACGTATAGTTTAGTTAATAATCAAAATATGTGGCAAAAGTTAAAGCATTTCTAAACTTTAGGAGAAGCTACTTTTTACTCTGACAAGTAACAAGGTTGCCATTATTGAATCTGAGAGCAGGCTGCTGTTCGTTTCCTCTATTGGAGTAAGACGGAAGGGCACCTTGGAAATTCCTCTCTGATTGCCAGGGGTCCCTGGTATCAGTACAACTTTAAATCCCAGGCTCCAGTGTTCAGCAGCTTTGAATTCATACCCCTCCTCCCTAGGCTGGTGCTTGAGCAATTCCTGAACTTTCCTGAACCTATGTTACCTTTCTGTGAAAAAGCAAATAGTGTCACCCACTGTGTGGAGGAGTCATGAAGTTAAATGAAATACGTGAAAGAACCTAGCATAATTCCCGGCTGGTGATATACATTCACTGATTGCTTAAGAGTATCTTTTTTAAAAACATGAAATAAACTACTTGTTTACATATAAAACACTAATAATCTCACCAAAATACATAACTTATTGGCTGTTTTTCACCCTTTTTCATTTTGTGAATTACATGCTTAGGAAATAAAAGCCTGAATTCAAATAGAAGTAAAATAGAATTTGATTTCATAATGTAAATATAATAAACAGAATAAGAAAAATGAATATTCTCCTAAATGTATCTGGATACAGTTCTGCCTAAGATTTAACTTCCATGAATTAAGAAAATATGAAATATTAGCCATTAAATTTTAAATAAAATATTCTTACATATTAAGTAAAATTGGGTAATGCTTCTGCTTCCTGAAAGTTATTAAGGTGAGAATATTTATAATTGTTTTAGTCATCAGGCTGTCTTCAGCTCTAGTCTGATTACTTTTGATAATTATGTGTCTGTATAATGGGTCAGCCTTGGGATTTATTTGCTTCTCTGAACATAACAGGTGTGAGACAGTATACATTTCTTGGATCATAAACTCTCCATGGACCAAGCATTTGGAACTGAAGTTTTCATGTTATTGAAACTTTAGGTCAACACTCTCAGCCCGTTGATATAAATAATCAGTAGGATTTATTCACTTAAAAATTAGGCATTTGGACTTAGTTTTTTTCTAAACCATGTCAGTGTGCATGCGCGTGTGGGTGCGTGCGTGCGTGCGCTGAAACTAATGCAGTAGGTGCTTTCCAAAATTCAGAGGGAAACTTGACACTGTGGAGAAATCTGGACAATGTCACTTTTGAACACTTCCAGCAGGCTATGAAAACTACTGTATTGCTGCCAGAACACTGAGCTCATTTGTTTATCAGTTCTCTAGACAGCTACTGAGGTGTTAATTATGATATACAGAAAATTAAAATGTGCAAAATACTCAAAATCATAAAATCTAAGATAAGAAATTTTTATGCCAGAAGTTGGAAGCAAGCAAGTAAATACTGAAAATGTAAACTCATCATTAGTAGGTACCAGTCTCTCATTATAAGGAATTTTCTTCAGCATCAGAACATTTATACTAAAGGATGCTTTTTCTTACTTGGATTAGAAATGCCCAAAGGCTACCATGGTTCATCCAAAGCTATTGTAATCATGGGTTTCAGTATGTGGCCGTGCCCTAGATACTTGAGCTTTGCAAGGTAACCCAGAAACCAAAAACAGAGGGCAGGAAAGTGACAGTGAGGACTGTCAGCTGCACCTTCTTTTGCACATTGGTCTTAAACAAGAATAGGAAGTACCTCAGAATTAGCAGACTGCATGGCATTGGACAAGCCTTTAATGTAAAGTTTGGGGAGCTGAATGGCTCACAATGAACACTAGAGGGATTTATAAATAATAGCACAAACACATAAAATTAAGCATGATGTAAACTGTGATATGAATTCTAAATTATATGCTAAAAGAAGATACCAAATTAGCACTGTAACAGGGACTCAGAAGTGACAATCCAGTGGGGTCTGTAGCAGCTTCCCACAGCAGGGACACTAGCGCTGACCACTGAGGAAGGGCTGATGGCTCAATGTGTTGACCCAGACCCGCAGGGCAAGAGCTGGGAAAGTGGAGAAGACGTTCACAGCAGGGTCTGGATACCCAGGACCCACAGCTAGCAGAGGACTGGGTCGTGCTTAGCGCTGTCTGTTAACATCAGTCTACCAGGTTGGAGGGCGCGCTGTAATACGTGAACTGGGATCCTCAAAGAATTCAAGTGAGAATGAGTCTAAGATCTGTGTTTAGACGACTAAAATAGTAGCCTGAAATGGTCAGTTTTTCATGAGGAGGTGGAGTACGTGGGCCAGTTCATCTCCACACTGGAACAAGACCCTGAGCTTAGGAAGAGGCAGTTGGAATAGAAAAAGAATGTCCTGCAAAAATGCCTTTATCCCAGAATAATTGATTGCTCTTTCTAATCCAGGTATTTAGGGTGGCTACTGACTGCATCACTGCCCCCAGGTAGTACTAGGGGAGGAAAGTGTAGGTGTTTAGGTTCAGTGAGAACTCAAGGTTACAAATTATATTGGCCAAAGAGGGTGTGAATCTGCATCTCTGATGTACCCAGTATCCAGCTTACTTTCCCTTATTACATTGTGTTGAAGAAAAAAAATCCAACTTTTAAAAGTAGACTTGATCTCTTGCCTACTGAGCAAATTCACGCTCCATGCCTCTGTTTTATGCATATTTAAACAGTTTAAAATAATGAGTGTGGTTTCCCAAAATTCTTCTTTGAAATAGTGTATATCTTATACGTTTCAAATCATGTATACATAAAAACTTTTCAGGTCACTGCTTAAAGCAATTCTGAAATTTTAAGACTTTTCAAACACGTGTCAATACAATAAATACATTATGTTGGACAAGTGGAGAGTCACTTAACTGCAGCCATGATGCCACACACTTTAAAATGTGTGCGCTCATCTCTTTATTACACAAAACAGATGACGTAGATATTGAAAGAATGAGTCATCTAATGAAGTGTAAGTTGGTTTCAAGGCACGTAGATTCCTCATAGTCAGGGTGCCCAGCTTCGCCACCTGTGCTGGCTCCAGCACCATGGCGGGCCCCGAGCCTGACTGCAGAGCATTAGTGTTTGCAGCACAAAAGAATGAGACACACACTCTTGAAACTACCCAAGACGTCTGTGAAATGTAGGTGAGATTCCTGAAGAATCCATCCAGCAAAGAGATATCCTCGCACTGAAAGAATGAGTCTAACAGGAAAACTTCTAAAACTAAGATTAAATCATTTCCAGAGCCATTCTCTGGTTTACACATGTGACTACATATTTTCAGATGTAAAAACAGGTTGAAAGTTTTGAAATCATGTAATATTTGTAAGCACAATTTCTTTTTTTAAAAATGCTTAACTAAATAATTTAAGAATTATTAGGTAATTATAGAACCTATTCAAATTTTTAAAATTATGGCTTTCCACAAACTTCTGAACTAGAATCCTGAGGTTCCTTCGGCACCATGTCCACCTCACCTCAGTGGAATGGAGTCAGAGACCTTGGACTCATTCTGTCCTCTTTCTTTCATGCGGTATCTGAGCTCATATAGCTTACTGAGTGGAGCACTTTCTCAAAGAGTTCTGAGATCAGAAGAGAGGAAAACAGAAAGTCTCCCAAGAAAGGTATATAGGTGCGAAAGTGAATCACCTACAGGAGAAACAGCTTCTGATCCACCACAGCGCAGAGGACTTCATCAGCGTGTGCACCGTCCAGGTTGCACGACCCGGGTGTCTGCACTGCTTCTGCGGAGAGAGGACTGGGGGGCTTGAAACAGAGACTGGAAGGACGTGAGCTTAGTGCCGTGGAACCACCGAGCTACAGCTCCTGGGAGTGGGCCTGGGACAAGCGCGGGTCCCACCAGCTCAGACAGAGCTAGTCTGTCCGTCTCCCTAGATGGTACCTTGTTCGCTCTCCATGACGTGGAATACTGGGTTGCCTCCAGTTCCTGCAGCACTGGAGTCTGGCCACCGCCATAATGCTGCAGCTCACTGTCCCTTCTGGTCGGGAAGTGGGAAGGTGGGCCGCAGAGACTGCGCTCCAATGGCCCCGTGTCTCGCAGCGCGGAGGCGACTTGTATGCACTTGGAGACAGCGCAGTGGCCCACCTGCCCAAGGGCCGGGGGAGTTTGTGGTGAAATGGTAAGCTCGACAACCTTGTCTCAAGGAAATCTATCCTCGAATAATGGAGGGATAGCTAAATTCTAGTAGTCTTCAATACTAACATTTAAGTTTTGGGAGCCTGATCACACCTGAGAAAAATTAGTTAATAATTCCCCTGAGTATTATAATGAAATCTATATACGTGTTAGTGTAGTAGGCCCAAGATATTCTTTATAAACAAAATAAAAATTAAATGTGTGCATACGTAAATGTCCTGATGATTCTAAATCGTGGCTTTACACTTACTAACATCCACAATGGTTCAACTTCCTTGACAAATGGCAGATGTTTCCATTTTTCTTGAATATTATTCAACATTTAATTATTGAATTTTTTAACACAGTGGGATTGTTTTTGGTATACTGGGCACACTTTTTAGGGAGTCTTTTTTATCTTCATTTCATGGCTCCTATTTTTGGCTCCTAATAAAATATATTGTAATGTCTTATTCCTATCATACCAGAGACCAAATGTGCTTTACAATACTTTGTACTTAGAAAATGGTTGACTTGAACTTTGGGAATAAATTTGAAATAAATTCTGGAAGGTAAAAAGTACTTTGAATAGTTATAATTCTGGCTTTTCACTTCATATTTGTTAATACCCTGACTGCCTAATTCACTACCTCTTTAGTAGTATGATCCACACAAGTGGAGCTATTCTCCAACACACATTTACAGTGGCCTCTTTTATTCCCTGACCAAGTGAAGAGAAAAGCAGCTGGCGTGGACTGTGTGTGACTGCAGGAAAGCCCTAGAGTGCACTGGTCTTCAGCGTGGTTGGTTTTGATGCAGCTGGACAGACGCACTGCACTGTCACTGCTCTCCACAGAGATGGAGACGGGGTTCTCATTCAGGACCTTCCTGGGTATGCTCGGGAGGATAGGATGGATGCGTCAGCCCAGTTAGTAACATGACCATGAACTGAGAGCTGGGGTGCTCGTACCATAGTTAGGTTTCCGGTGTAAACTTGTTTGCGAGTTTGGTTTTCCTTAGCTCTCTTCCAGAGAACCAAAAGACTTTATTTTATGGCATGCTTCAGTTTGATGGAACAACAATGAAAATTTTCCAGGCCACCCATACCTCAGATTAGGGGATAAAAGTCATGCTTAGAAGAGAAGGTACATAAATGGAAGTGAAATATATAATGAGTATGTGTTATTTATATTCCACAACATGGGAGCTCTGTACAAACTGAAAAAGTGCACATTAGTGGAAAAGTGCAGGTACCACTGTATTCCCAAATAACTCAGAGTGAACTGATAAAAGGAGAATGTTATTATAAGAAGGAAACTACTATGGGAATTAGACTGCATCTTCTAAGGATAAACACTAGAGAAATGTCTGCAATGAAAGAGAGCTTGGAGAGGGGTTTGTTAGAAATCGGCCCTTCATCCTGTGATCCGTGGACAGGTGCAGTGTCCTATGTGGCTGCCTCCCCACATGATGGGTCAGAAGGGACAAAGATATGCAGCTACACAGTGAGGACAGTTGACAACACAGCATTTTTAATTTGTAGCTATAGAAAACATTTATATAAGCTCTCTAATAGAGGGATTATAGAAATACATTTCTTATATAATATTGTACTTACTGTGAAAATAGCACATTTATTTAGAGAGGGATTGTTCCGCCCAGAGTCCTGGTGGACGTTTTGAAACACATCCATTGCCTTCTCTCACAATAACTGTTACCGAGAAAAGCAAAAGTACCAACCATTTTCCATGATTCCTTATCAAAATCTTCTCCTTTGGGGGGATGTTTCCCAGAGTGGTCCAGAACGCTCAGTTAGTCAAGTGGTCTAGAAAAGTGAGAGTTTGAGGCTGGGCGGGCCGGCCTACATCTGCTGGCACTCGTGCCGGGTGCACATGGCCTGCCGCTCGATCCGCCACGTGCCCTCCTCGTAGGTGCAGTGGCAGATGGTGCACTCATCCGTCTTCACTTCCCTGCCAGCCGGGATGACAGCCGTTTCTGCAAAGCAGTTGGGACCTGAGATGCAGGAGAAAATGTTTTACTCTATGTGTGCACATAAATATATAATACACATAATGAACACTGAGCATTACAGTTTATGTTTTATTCACTCTCTCTTATGAGGACAGCAGAAAAAGTTATGACTCCAGCGATACAAAGAACTACCACATTTTCTTTTCTGGAATGAAACCAAAGTTATTTAAAATTTTTATGAGTGGCAGCGCTGTGAGTCTCATTAACAGACTTTTCCACATTGGGACCTTACATAGAGGCCAAATCTACAATCATTAGATTTAATTCATGCTAAGAAATCATAGAAAACCTGTAATCAGGACCTTCAAAGAACCATTTTAAACCTTAAACTTTGAGAGAGCACAAAGCCAGTGTTCCTTCCATCCCTCTCGGAGCAGATTTTCCAACTTTATTAGACATCATGGTGCCCCAGAGCTCTGTTGAAATGCCAGTTACTGCTCCCACTCCCGGAGTTCCTAACTCCCAAGGTTTGGAATGGGACCCAAGAATTCGCTTTGATAGATTTCCGGGGGACGAGGCTGCTGCTGGCTTTGGGCCCACACTTTAAGAAGCACCATGTTAGCACTTCAGCAGTTTATCTTTGATAATCTTTCCCAAGACCTGAGAATCTCTGCCATTCTCAGTCAACAACATCAACCATAAACTGTTCAACCAACAAAGGTATCGCATCTGCACTTCATTCTATATACAAAGTCAACGGCAGAAAAAATAAATATCAGAAAGATTTCCAGTGTGAGTTGAAAAATATTTGCTTTAAAAGATTATTGGTTTCATGTTACGGCTAATACAGCTACAACCTCTAAAACTCTCTATAATTCAAACATCAGAAATTACTGTGGCCTGGATAAAGGCCTCAATTCTCCTTCATTTGCCCAATTTCTCATTTTCCTCATTTTTTTGCTTCTGAAGTCTTTGAGAATGTGCTCACAACCAAAATATGTTTAATTCTAATGTATGAAGTCATCACAGATGAAAAAAGATGCATCAGCCAATGTTTTAAAAAAATAAATCCACCAAGCTCTGCATTAAAGATGGCTCCCCGACACTCGTCAGCAGAACCAGCTGGGCTCCCGCGTCATGGTTTCAAGTGAACTCCTGAGTGTTGTGCTTGGACCTGGCTCTTCTCCCTCGCTTCACTGTGTCTTGCTGTCTCCTGTTCAGACACTGTCCAAAGTTCTACCCTTGACCTCTTCTCTTCTCTTCGCCCTCAGAGACTCCAAACCTTTGAGAGGAATTTGTGTGGGAATGACTCCCAGGCACAAGTTCATCTTGCTACCTCTCCCATGTTCCCCTCTTGTTACTTTTGGAGGCCGAGTGTCTGCAGTGACTGCTGGCATCAGGGTGATTATGCCTAGATCCAGGGTTTCATCCATCTGAGATGAGTTTTATTTACCTGAAGGTCACGTACTCAAACTGGGTATGGTGGTGGGCAGTTCACAGGCTCCAAATCAAGCTGTCCTTGCTGGAATGCCTGCACTGGGCACCCTCCTGGCAGTGCCTGGCTCTCAGAACTGCCTTTCACAGTGACAGCCCTGGCGCCACATGTGTCCTTGCCAGGGAGTTCCTGGGACAGGACCCCAGGACCCCACAGCTTCCCCCAGGTCTAGCATTGCATGCAGCACAGCGCTGCAGCCCAGGGCAGATGTGACTGAGCAAAGTTTTTAGGATGACACTGTGAATCGACATCAAGATCCAGCAGCACATCTGTGTCCTCCAGTGAGCCTGGCGCCAGTGTGTTTCAGATCCAAAGCCACAGAAGACAGACTGCTCATGAAAACCAACATGAGCAAGGGCCTGCGATCAGAGCTGCTTGTCCCCCCACCCCAGCCTGGAATAAGCACTTAGGAATGCCCAGAACCCCTGCATGGCCAAGCAATGGAGAGCAGGTCTACCCAATCCAGGAGCCCAGACAGTGCCATCATTCAGGTAAGGCAGCACATTTTGTCTTAGGAACTACATTACTGGTGATCTTGCCTTTGGAGCCACGAGATTAGAATGAAAATAAAAGCCAAGTAACTGAACTTCACACCCTAAACCTCTTTTGAAAGAACTGCTTTTTCTCCACCCTACTTTGAATCAAGGTCCTCCGCACAACCTCAGTTTCCAAATGTGAAACTGCCCAACTGTTTTTCATATGGAGAAAGTAACAGCTACTGCATTTCAGTTTCTCTTGTGTATGCCTGATGAGTTTTAGATTCACGGGACATTAGTCTCAAAGGAGAGGAAAGAGCAGCTTCCTCATAAGCACTTTCACTTCACCCTCAGTGAAATGAAGCAGCTAAAAGCGTCCATGTGTCTGTGCACACTGTTCCCATACCCATTTGTGCTCTCCTGGTATGGCTGTAGTACAAAATCATGTTTATTCAGAACAATTAAAATAAGGGAAATAGCAAATAACAACAAAACAAGCATGAAGATGAGGTACATTTGGCTTCTGTAGAGGAAATAATCTTCATCAAAACGAAATGTCAGGTGGGCCTGGTACTGCATGGCATGCCTGGAATCCTAGCACTCTGCTGAGGCAGGAGGATGGCAAGTTTGAGTTCAGACCTAACACCTTAGTGGCTCAATGAGACCATGTTTAAAAAATATTTTTAAAGAGTTGGGGATGTAGCTCAGTGCCAGGGATGTGGGTTCAATCCCCAGCAACCCCTACATCAGGTGGGAAACTATGCTGCCAGGTTATTGTCTTCTTGGAGGGCTGTGAGGGAATCTGAAAGTTTCTCTTTGCTTCTATGTCTTTCCATTCCTCTGGGAACATGCCTGAGCCTAGATTCCTGGGCCCAAGGCATAACTCCTTGTCACCTTATTCCATTCCCTTTGAGTTGACATCATTTATCATATATCATACAGTCTCCACCAAAATCCAAGAAATAAAATACACCTGCATTCTGAACTGAAGGTCTAAAGCATTCACATACTCTTAAGTTCTCAGAAAATGCAAATAATTATGCTCCATTCATAGAAAGGAAGAAGTATCTTTCAAAGTTCTTATTTCAATATGGCAAAAGATATCTTGTTTTTCTAAAAAGTCACCACTGTCAAATAAACTGAGGCCAAGCTTTAGTAAACAACTTAAATGAGGGTTCGTTACTAAGGATCCTTTCAGAACCTTAAGTACACCAGTATTTACTGAGAACCTCAGAATTAGGGTTGGAATATGCAGCATTTTCTGAACTGACCATGGAAGTCTTAATTTGTAAACAGTTATTAATAACCATAAAAGGCTCCTAGGGCAGAGAAGCTCAGCCGGTCCCAGCACCCAGAAGGAAGCTCCCCTGCTGCCATCCCAGGCTCCTAGGGCAGAGAAGGTGAGCCGCATGGACACCAGAACC